GTCATTAAAGAGAAGGTAAACAAACGTGAAATGGGTACATTGTACAGTGTGTGGAGCTCCCAGATTCATGTGCAGGAGGCCAAGAATGTCTGATTCTGAATGTGGTGCCCTCAACTCTCAGTACTGGACCAAAGTAAGCTCATGTCTTCTCTCATGAAGCAAGAGCATCTGAGATGTCTGGACAGTAGGTCAGATCTTCTAAAGGGCATTCTTGCAGGTCTACTTTGTTCTAAGTATACTTCTAAGAAAGAATTTCTAGTTCTAGACATAACCAAGTTGGGCAGCGATTCATTTCAGACTCCAGCACTTCCGATGCGTGAACTCATGTCAGACACTCCTAAAAGGTGCGGCCAGCAGAGCCTCGGGGTGGCGCTGGGTTAACCTCGTCCTCACTGCGACACTTTCAACTCCCTTTACTGGGGACATAGGATTTGCTCTTTTGAAAGTGAAACCTGGCTGGAAATGGTTTCTCCCCTGCTAGCTAACCACACGAGCTAAGCTGTGGAAGGGGTAGGTGGGTCAAGGAAGAAGACACGGTATGCCATGGGCTCTGCATTCTTTAGAACAGATGTCATTTGACGTCTGGGTTGGTCCAGGCTGTGAGAGCTATCCAGGGGCGTGCTCCAGGTTAAGGGCATCCTCTGCTTGGAATGCAGCTTCAGGAGGGTTTCCCCAAAGCTCAGTTTCTCCTTCCCAACAACGAGATGCTGTAACTCACTTTTATGACAAGAGACAAGCCTTTAGTCTTCAGGCTTCAGACCTACCCATAAACTGGCCACCTGCACTTTGCTTGGTACATTGTTTAAGAGAACAGCTAAAAATTTTTTTTTTTTTTTTCTTTCTCCTGACCTACCTCTGTCAGGGACAGATCCAGGCTCTGCCTTGTGGACTTCTAACCTTAGATTAGAAAAGGCCACTAGAAGTTCATGAACCTCATGTTGCTAATGATGTGTCTGTTTTGATCCTGAAGCTTAAGCCACAAAAACTTTTATATTCAGTTGTGCAAGGAATTGGACACGGAAAGTCTGCACACCTCTTGTACATTTCACAATGCTGGTCATCGGTGTTCCCCTGTTATTTCACTTTTACATAAAGCTAAGACTCATCTACCCCAGCATTCTGGGTCCCTTTTTTCTTTATTAACCTATCAGATTGCTAAATATTTCAATGGTCCTTATTCATAGTCACCGAGGCCCTATATAATCCTTCCTGTGATTCATCATATTCTCTGATTAAAGAGAATCCCATTTATAGGGTGCCTGGACATTTAGTTTCTCCATAAGCATGAATACTCATACAGATCTGAAAACAAGAGAAAGTTAAAAGAGCCCCTCAAAAATATATATGTATATATAATGACAATTTCAAAGCAGTATCTTTTTATGAAGGAGCTCTGGTGGCACAGTGCCTAAGGCATTTGACTGCTAACCAGAAAGTTGACAGTTCAAACCCACCAGCCATTCAGAGGAAGGAAGACGGGGCAATCCCTACTTCTGTAAAAATTTACCGCCTTGGAAATCCGATGGGGGTCTGAGTTGGAATCCACTCGATGGCAGTGAGTCTGGGTTTTTTTTTTTGTTTGTTTGTTTATCATTTTAGGAAGAAGGAAGAGAGAAGGAAAGTATGTGAGGGAGTTCAAGGATGAGCTACAAAGAAAGGGAAAAGGAGTAAGGAAAAGACAAAGAAGAGCACATGAAGAGATGACGGTGCAGTTATTCCAGGTGTATCCGAGGCTGTGTCCCGTGCTGGCCTAACATCTGTGGGCATGTACCAAGGAAGGTGCGTGGCTGACCTACACACACAAATGAAGTTAACGGGCGAAACTATGCCTACTACACTCTCCTGTTTTTCCCACCTTAACAGAGAACATTCCAGGAAGCAAAACATGAGCTTGCCATTAATCTCATTACTCCCAAAATTGTGAGAAAGTTAGGAGACTGTGTACTGGGGAATTTTCAAACCTGAATCTTCCTTGCAGATTCAATCTTCACCTTCTTGGGGTTCTTGCTGGTCACAGGTGGCATCTCCTGCCTTTTAATGTCGCGGCGTATGTACAGCACACACCCTCAACGGGCTCACCTCAGGATCCAAGCTCAGTGTTGCTGGTCAGCCAATGAGAAACTTTAGATCGTTGTGCAAGAACTCCTGACCCTCAGGTGCTTTCTGAACTCTCTCACACACCTTCCCCGTCACCTCTTTGAAGACACTTACGGACCCAGTCGCCAGGCGAGGATTTGGAGGATTTGCGCTGTCTGTGCTGGGGTCGGGAGATTGTTAACGCTGACTCCGTGCTTCCAGGAGTCTGTTACCACGAGCTGATGATCATTATTTGCACTTGAATCTACACCATGATTTTGTGACTTGTGGCTAGAACCTAAAGGGGAGGCTGTTCACTGCAGTTTCTAGACGTGAGAAGACAGCCTGACAGCTAGATTTTAACCACAGGTGCACAACTTTTCTGTTACATTAAAAATAACCAGTAGTTCAGTGAAGATGTACAAATTTAGTAAAAATAAAATAACCCTTGTGGTGCAGTGGTTAAGGCATTTGGCTGCCGACCAGAAGGTTGGTGGTTCAAATCCACCAGCTGTTCCATGGAAGAAAGATGAAGCTGTCTGCTTCTGTAAAGTTTTACAGCCTTGGAAACCCAATGGGGGTTGCTATGAGTAGGAACTGACTCAATGACAATGAGGTGTTTTTTGTTTTGGAGGTTTTAGATGACATGAATGTTAACAGTTCATCCACAGACAAAGAAGTCTGTGGCAACAGAGAGGAAGGCAGTTCACTGGCTTTGTCCCAGGCAATGCTGTGACCGGGGATGCTCTGCTGCCCGGCATCAGCTCTGAAGGGTACCGGGCCACCTCCAGAACGTCCCACACAGGAGACACGGCCCTCCTCCCGGGGGACCAGGACAGCTCCTGCAGCCTGACCCTGCTATCAGAGAAGGCCTGAGCCAACTCAAAGGATCAGGATTTAGCCCAAAGACAGTTCAGAAAAAGGCACAATGTTTGATACCCAAACTAACTGTGTGAAGAAATCTCCCTGAGCGCACTGGTGCTCTTTGGTTTGCATACTTCACAGAAAAGAGTGACTCTAATTGAGAAACAGCGTCCCTTTCTGGTTAATGACTGACCTTGTTTATGGCTTTGGTACCTCAGTTTTTTAAAAGATAAAAATAAGTCAAAAGTATAAGCATTAGCTTTCTTATATGCCACTGATATGCTTTTCTTCTTAAATAACTACACTTTCTACATAATTAAAATCAGGTATCTTAAGTAAATAGAATTCATCTTCTTATGCCAGTTATAGCAAAATAAGGCTTCTCTTCTGAGCCCCTCTTCCTCACACATTCAAACCAGCTGTAACCATTGATTATTACACAATAATGGTCTTCAGAACGTTTCCAAGTAAATGCACTGTTTATTGCATTCCTTCATTTGCATTAAACAATATAGTATTTATATTTTGCAATGTAGTTTTGGACAAAACACAAAAACATCACCCTCATTTAACAAGAGACATAAGTTAATACAATGTGTGCTGCTTTTGTGGGAAGAGGAAGGAGGTGTGATCTTAAGAGATCAGGGGACCCAGGATACTGGCCGCCAGGAACCACAGGATTTCATAACACAGTGCACTCTTTACCACGCCACAAAATAAGCAAGGGGTGAAACCCATGACAAAGTAGATACGACATACAAGTCTCTCCCAAAAGCATACAGACAGCAAGATTCGGAGATGATTTGCCTTCTGCCACGGGGACAAAGGACAGAGCTACATCCAGGTGCCACTGTGGCAACAAGCCTTACCGACATTAAGCACCTTTGGGTGGCACATGACTGTCCTCCCATGTTAAGCAGCAATGGCGAGAACGCAGCATGCTCTGTAGACCTCACGACCAAATACGAGACCTAATAATTCCTCCTGACTCAGTGACAAGACAAATCACCCTCAAAAGGACCCAGTAAGCTCTCCTTCCCTTTGGCAGAAGCACGCAGAAGGTAAAGGAAATGTGTCAAATGCAGTGGAATGGACATCAAAGGGCTGAGGGGAGAAGGCTGGAAATGGGCTCGTTTTTCTGGAGAACGGTGTTTCATTCAGATATTGATGGTAAAGATAAAAAAGAGGGTAAGTTCTGACTAAGTCATTAACTAAGGAAAAAAAGTGGTGATACTAAGTCCTTAATACCAAACTAAGGAATTGACCCATTTTGAGTTGGATGCTAATTAATGCCGAGAGGTTTGTAAGTTATTTTAATAACTCTTTTCTGTTTAGGCATGCATATTTTTTCCATAAATATCTTTCCCAAGTTTTTAACAACATCTCCCCAGTGGTGTGATTAGCGCACTCTTACCACAGAGTGTACTGTTACATTAAGGGGATGCCATAGCCAATGGTACTAATCTGACTTTTTATGATGAAGGGTCTCCTGATTGATTGCACCTTGGAAACATCTCTGAAAATGATTAAGAACAGTTATCTTAGAAATCCCAAGCCCTGTTTCTTTAAGCAAAGATAATACCAGTTTTCTGGAAGAACCTTTAACCAAATAACCTGATAACCCTTTAGTGTTTGCACCGGAAAGCTGTCAGATAATCCCTTTAACTCACAGCTCTATTCAGTGTTCCTGGTTTGCATGTAAAAAGTCTTCATTCTGATAGGCCATGTGTTGTCTTGCAACACTCATTACATTTATTGAGAGTTTTCAGGTGGTGGTGGTGGTGGTGGTGGTTGGTTGTGGTGGTGGTGGTGGCGGTGGGGAGGTTAGAATGTGTAGTGTTCACAAGTACAGTTTGCCTCTCACACTTAAAACCTGAGTAAGAAGGAATCGGCTCGCAGAGAGAGGAAAGCATGGCATCTAAAGCAAATCTGTACCTTCCACAAAACACTGGAACACCTCACTAAGCATCAGGAAGGGAGTTTTATTGCACTAAACATGCAGAGAGCGAGTGAGAGCGTGTTGAAGGTAGAACACATTCCACTGAGTCCAGTATCTTGAGTAAGATGACTGAAGATCCCATCTTCACCTTGGTCACTTCCCTTGGTCACTGTGTTGCAAATGCTCCACTTTCAGTCAAAGTCAAGCGGGCTACTGCAAAAGGAACACCCAACACACACACACAAAACAGATGAGGGTCTGCAAAAAGCCATTAATCAGAAATCACTACAAGCTTCTTAATTGTTTTTCTATATTTTTCATTATATATTTGCTATCCAATGAGCATTTCACAAAAGAAAATGGTCACAGCTCCATGCATTTAAAAGCTGGCTCAATGAATATGTACCATTGAGTTTTTCCTGCATTATGACAAGGAAGTTTTGGAGAGCAGGACAGGGAGAGCAAACCAACAACAACACAGCCAACTCCTTTGCTTGGTCTCTCAGCTACAACACAGTGAAGACTCCTAATATTGGAAACAAAGTTTTCTAAGAAGGGCTACTTATTCAAATATATATGCATGTGTATGACAACTGTTACGGGTTGAATTGTGTTCCCCTCTCCCCCCAAAAATGTAGTGAGTCTTAACCTCTGTGCTTATGGTTATAATCCCATTTGTGAAGGGGCTGCCTTTTTTATGTTAATGAGGCAGGATTAGTGTAAGGTGCATCTTGAATCAATGTCTTTTGAGATAAACAAGCAAGTGAGCAGAGGAGAGACAGGTAAGAAGATGCCAAGACACATGGAGATCTCCAAGGAACCAGGAAGCAGAAGCCAAAGAGACAAGGCCCTTCCCCAAGAGCCGACAGAGAGAAAGCCTTGCCCCAGAGCCGGCACTCTGAAGTCCAACTTCTAACCTCCTAAATTGTGAGAAAAGAAACTTCTGTTTGTTAAAGCCACCCACTTGAGGTATATGTGTTATAGCAGCACCAGAGAACGATGACAGTTTGGTGCCAGAAGAGTGGGGTGAACAGATACCTCAAACGTGGGAGCAGTTTTGCAATTGGGAAATAGGTAGAGGCTGGAAGAGTTTTAAGGTGCCTAACAGTGAACGCCTAGATTGTCATGAAAAGACTGCTGGTAGAATTATGGACATTGAAGGCAGTTCTGGTGTGGGCTCAGAAGGAAGTTAGGAAAATTATGGAGGAAGTCTCTTTTGTTTTAGCGAATACATAGGGTACCAGCAACAGAAAGTTGTTAGCAATGTGGTCATTAAATGTACTTCTGGTGAGGCTTTAAAAGAAAATGATGAACATGTAACTGGACAGTGGAGGAAGGGTGATGCTTTTTATGTAATGGCAAAGAACTGTTGTTTGAATTTTGGTCCAATGTTTGGTGTAAGGTAGAACTTGTAAGTGATGAAGTTGGATATGCGGCTGAAGAGATTTCTAAGCAAGATCTTTAAGGGGCCGCGTGGTTCTTCCTTGTCTCTTACAGTAAAATGTGAGAGGAAAGAGATGGACTTAAAAGTTAACTATGCAAAATGAAAACAGAACTTAAAAGATTTGGGAAATTCGGTTGTATAAACTAAGGACAGGCCCTAGAATATTCACCAAGGACACAACTGCACAATCTATTGTTAAAGAGATTAAACCTGTGACTCGTGGATCTAACCAACTACCACAGCAGAAAACACATCAGCTTAGACTAAGGGGACAGAGAAAGAGCAAAAGGAAAGAATGCTGTCTACCTCTTAGAAATCTATAGGCAGGACACAGGCCAAAGAAATATATCTTCTGTCCTTTAAGAAAAGAAAAGGACCATACATGGAGCAGCTTGGAGATCAGCAGAACTGTTGGAAGGAGCATAAGCAGCAGGGCCTTCTTGGTTTCAAAGGGTGGGGTTATAGTCTCATGGATCTCAAAGGGTGTGGCCTCCTCAGTTTCAGAGTCAGGTTTTTGCCCACTGGGTTCTGGAGAGTGGGGCTGCTGCTAATGTGTGCCGGGGCAACAGAGCCGCTGCCCAAAGCTAAGGGGGGAGGGGCCGCCAAACTCAAGGGGGAGAGGAATGGGGCCTGCTGGGGCCGAGGGGGTGGGGTCACCACTCAAACGGACTAGGAGAATAGGGCCACCTAAAGTTGAAGCAGCAGAGTTGTCATCCCAGTGGGGATGGAAGGCAGAGCTGAAGCTGAGGGCTGAGGGGCCTCCACCAAGAATCCAGAGGGCCTGGCTAAGAACCAGAGTCTGAAGGGCAAGGCCATTACTTAGACGGTCTCAGAAAATTATTTCCCAGCCCCGAGAGCCAATGTGGTTTATGCTGCTGGGTCTTGGACTTGTTTGGTGCCCATTCTCCCTTCACTTCCTCCAGTTTCTCCCATTTGTAATGGAAAGGCCTATCTTGAGTCTGTTCTGCCACTGTATTTTGGAAATAGATAACTTGTGTAGATTTCATGGGTTCACAGATGAAAAGGAATTTTGCCCCAGGGTGGAATATGTCTAAAGTCTCATATTTGATTTAGATAATTCAGAAAATGAGCTTTTGGACTTGGAGTTGATTTAAGGCTTTGGGGATGATGTGATGGGATGAATGTGTTCTGCACGTGGGAAGGTGGCATAGTGCCTATGGCATCTGACTGCTAACCAGAAGGCTGGTGGTTCAAACCCACCAGCCACTCCTTGGAAGGAAGACTGAGCAATCTACTTCTGTACAGATACTGCCTCAGAAACCCAAGGAGGGGTCACTCTGAGTGGGAAACTCTATGGCAGTGAGTTTGGTTTGGTTTTTTAAAAGGTGAAATGTTATGGATTGAATTGTGTCTCCAAAAAATATGTGCTGTAAATCCTAACCTCTATGCCTATGGCTATAATCCCATTTGGGAATGGGTTGTCTTTGTTATGTTGATGAGGCAGGATTAGTGTAGGGTGTGACTGAGTCAATCTCTTTTGAGATATAACAGAGATTAAACAAGCAAGTAAGCAGAGGAGCGATAATGTGAAGTAGATGCCAAGACACATGGAGATCTCCAAGGAACCAGGAACAAGCTGAGAAGAAACAAGGACCTTCCTCCAGAGCCTGCACAGAGAGAAAGCCTTCCCCTGGAGCCGGCTCTCTGAATTGGGACTCCAGCCTCCTAAACTATGAGAAAATAATTTCTGTTGTTGACGCCATCCACTGTGGTGTTTACGCCATCCCGTGGTGTTTCTGTCCTAACGGCACTAGGTAATTAAGACAACAACACTTAGAAAACGTAAGCATTGGGATTTAACAGAGCAGTCGATTTGGCTGATGGGTGTGTTGTATCTACTTACGCTCCTTCTTCTCTTAAGAGGGCCAAGAACTTTCTCACACGGTATTCAGGATCCATCTAAATATATCAGAAGAAGTGAACAGGACAGGTTATTGTACCTCCTCGTAACCAGGCTCTTACTTCATGCCGCTGAAATGCTCACTCTCATACTTCAGACTTTCCCTGGTGCTCTGTTGACTCAGAGAAACGTGCTCCCGGCTCCTTGACCAGTATCCTGACGCACACCAAAGCAGAGCATGTCACTCAAGACAAGTACATGGAACCTGCTAGTTCAGAATCACTGTGCACTGAGCGCTCATGACCCAGCTGGTCACTGCCAGGAACCTCAGCGACCCTAGCTGGCGCTGGGCTGAGGAGACACAGCACAGTGATGGCCGTGGGGGCTCCAACCACACCCAATGCACGGGAATCACCTGAGGCGTAGAAGTGAGACGACACTTGGAGAACCAAACTGACGTTGGCCCATGACTAGAAAGACGGCTTATTAACTGTTTTGCTCTTTTAGCTTCGGTCTCCCTTACATGGTTTCTTTTTCACAATTAATGAAAAAACTGTGCCGAAACTTAAAAAACCAAAACCAAAACCAAAACCCAAAGACTAGGACTGACAACCCTGACCTGATACCTGGGTAACCCAGGTCCCCTCCAGTCCCTGAGAGCAGTGCCATGAGTCTAAGAACAGACTCGGGGGGGGGGGGGCATGCTTACTCAGGGGCTAGGTTCCGGTTGTTGTTACTGTCTACGGGTTTTCATTTTATATTCATAGTTACACTAATTCGTTCAAGTCCATTTTATTCTCAGTGCTCCACCAGGAATACGAAGTTATCTGGAAAATGATCATTAAAAACATCTTTAATTCTTTGAGATGGATTTTTATAAGAAACACACCTAACTTCTCAAAACTGTTCCAGGGCAGGAGTCTGCTTCCCGAGAGGGAACTCCCTGGCCTCCAGGAAGAGCCTCCAGATGCCCGAGCAGCTGTGGGGGACGTGCAGCCGCACCCCCCCTCCAGCCTCATTTGTTTTTAAAGATGATTCTTCTCTTCTATCTCAGAAAAACAGTGAACAGAAGTTTCAAATGTATCCAAGTTAAGAGGTCAGACTACAAAGGACGAAGAGAAAGTGTGAATAGCTAACAAAAGAAACATTTTTCCACTTTGGGAATAGAATTACATATGAATCAATTGTCAAGTTCTTGAAAAAAATGCAACTGGCTGCAGCTCAGTTGTAGTCAGTACTTGCAGGTCTTTGCCCATTAAATATATTTAATATGTGTGAGCAACGACTTACTGACTTGCCTGTAGCTATGGAATTAAGTCAAGAGAAAGGGAGGAAAAAAGTAATCTAGATAAATGACTTTATTCCCTCAGGTGACATCCAGTCAGAGCAGATCCGCGGCGCTGTGCAAGTTTTAACAGAATTGTGGGTAGTGAACAGAGAGGTAACATGACTTCTATTCTGCTACACTACATGCCTCTTCACTCAGGCCCAGCCTCTCCGAGGCAGATCTAAAGAGAATTCACTCAGCTGCACAAAATCCATTTGACATGAAGGGGTTCAAACTCAGAGGCCTATGAAGTGTCAGTCGCTGAAGATTAGGCCCAAGTACCACACTCTCACTGTCTACCCCACATACATAAGAGGCATTAACTTCATCACTGACCTGCAGGCATCAAAGAAGAGGAAGGGATGGGGCATGGGGAGAAAAACCCCCACATAGTTTCCTCTATGCAATTATTGGGGGAAAAAAAATATACATATATTGCTGAAACTAAAAAAATGTAGAGCTGACTGTCTGACAGATTTATCTTCTTTCAAGGAAAAAGCCAATCCACCTGTATGTGCACCTTTCCTGGGAATAATCCTAAGCAAAGCAATTAGTCTGTAACTTTAATTTACTGCTCATACTGTTAAATAAATGAATTGGTTTGAAAACAGTCCAAAAGCTACAAAAACAATAAATAATAATGAAAGCACTTTTATAGTAAGAGCATCAACAATATTAGTTAATTCTCGCACTTACCCTTAAAGGAACAGAGATGAGAACTACCTGACTGGTTTAAGCTTATAGGGTTCTCTCATATTTTAAAATCCAACTGACCTTCCTACACCCAATAGGTACAACCACGAATGTGAACCTAACTGAACTTTAGGTCTCCGAAAGCCCCTAAAATTATATATTAAAATACATTTACCAGAAAAGACTAAAAAACATTCACTTCATGTTCCCAATTTCAGATGTGACTGTGAAGCTTCAACTCCACCTCTGCCCCTGACCACACACACGGACAGAGCAGCAGACAGAGACCAGCTGTCCTTCGAATGCAGACAGTTTTCCCCTCAGACCTGGGATGGGCACACTCATTCAATCAGCAGAAGTTTACTGAGCACCCTACGATGTGTCTGACTCTGTTCCAGGGGCTGTGGATTCAACAGCGCATGAAAGCCAAGATCCCTGACCTCAGAGAGCTTGGTAGATATACATTCGTTATCTAACTAGGATGTCAGGTAAGGACAAGACACAGGATGGGCACACGATGGGTGGAGTTCCAAGAAGAGGAAAGGTATGTGGCCAGTAGTCACAGAGAACTTTCATGTGTCTGCTTAGGCAGCAGCCTGGGGCTCAGTTGTCTGTGGGGCCCTGAACGCTTCAACTCTGCACTAGTTTGCATGGTATTTCAAGCCCAGTTGGGGGAAAATAGACAGAGCCTACACCTAGTCTGTATGACTCAATCAGTCGTCCCGGGCCCCTCCTGGTCTACATGTAAGTAGTAGCTTATTGCTCTCTGATATACAATAATGTCCCTGTTCCGTCGCCAGTTGGCTATGTGCCTTGGACGATCCACCGACAACCTGTGGGACACACACACTCATCTGTAAAATGAGGGGGCAGCAGAACAGCTGAAATTTGAAATCTTTCCTAAATGTAAGAACTAGTGACTCCTAAATTAAAGACTAAGAGTAACTTTCCAATCTGTTCTATTTTTGAATTTTAAGGAGTAGGAAAGAAAAGTATCAATGTACTTGGTGTGTCGTGAAATTCCTTTCTGGTCTGAATCACATGGAGAAGGAAGGACCCTACCTGTAGCGACATCTCAATCAACATCAGTAACTTCTTGATTCCTATCCAGACCTTCTTCCCTTTGACTTGCTGTGCAATTGTGGTGCGTTCCTTGTCCTTGAAGTTGCCCAAAAGCTACAAAAACGATAAATAATGAAAGCACTTTTATAATAAGAACATCAGTATCAGTTACTTCTCACACTTTAAAAGAACAGAGATGAGAACTACCTGACTGGTTTAAGCTTATAGGGTTCTTTCCTATTTTAAAATCCAACCTGACCTTCCTACACCCAATAGGTACAACCATGAATGGAAAACTGGTGTCCTAAACCCTGCTTTCCTATGGAACTCCATTATAATTTACAGGTGTATTTGCTGGGAAGAAAAATAGCTCCAATCCATAATAAATTTCAGTTAACATTTTTAACATTCCTTTCTAGGAACAATCTGTATGTGTCAGAGCAGACTAAAGTTAATTCTCTCCCCAACCCCTGCACAAAAGCTCCTCCAAGGGATCACCTGGAGGCGTGATCTATGGAAAGCTTCTATTTTGTTGGAAGCAGACACCAGCCCTGTGTGCCTTGAGGATTTTAAGAATCCTTACTGGACCTACTTCTGCTGAACAACTCACTTTGTAATATTTCCAATGGTACAACCAAGTTGTTCGTGTATGCTGTGGTAATCAAAAGCTTCGTGTAGGAGATAGCCTTAGAAAAATTTAAATGTTGACATCTTCATCAAATTTAAGAAAAATTTCTATATTATAAAACTGTTAGTAAAGGAATTCCTTTTATTTCTGTAGATTTTCTGAAGTTCCTAAGGTTTTCATGCAAGGATATGTGCTGAAAGCCACTTACAAATGGCTGATATCTCTCCTGATGATTAACTCGCATCTCTCCCCCAATCCAAGTTTCTCATCTATGTCATCTACATGCATTACTCATGCTGGGCATCAGAGTAATTCATTCCTGGCAATTTTTATGCTGCCTACACCCAGGGATGGGAGACTAATTCACTGTCGTATATATTCACTTCTTCTCCCTCTCATTTCTGAAGATGATTGGAGGTAACATCCTCCAATGTTCTAGGTTAACCTAGAACCCAAACATCAGGTGCAAAGGCAACCCTTAGCCTTATTTCCAGCCTCATCAACTCCTTCTGTAGAAACAGTGTACAAATTCATTAACTCGTTTTCACCTCCAAAGCCTCCAACAGCTGCTCTCCTGTGGCAATATTGGGCACATGGATGGTGGTGCTGAAGGCGTTAAGCATTTCCATCTCCTGAAGAACATCTTTGCGGCTGGTGGTGCCAATGATAAGAAGCTTGCGGCCCTGATCACAGAGAGAAAAGCGTTAAATAAATGCCCAGAACAAGCTTACTTAGGAAACTAGAATAAGCCTGATGAAATGTGCAAACTCCATCTGTCTAACTGCGGAAATGCCAATGATTAGGCAAAAGAAAAAAAAAAAAATCCAAAATTTTCCTCATGAAAAAATCTAAAAATATGGTACCAACAACATGATCAGAAGTGGTCACATTTGAACAGCTCTTTCTTCTCATTCACATCAATGAAACAATGGATTAGTACATATTAGAAGTATGTTTCTAATTCATTTCTCACAGCTAACATGGTATATGAATGGTGGGAACTGGAAAAAAAACCATAATTAATGAGAAGTCTTTGTATCACCCACTTAGCAAGGTTCTGTTACGCTTTTTAGAAGGAGTAGGGTGATAATAATAGTTTATGACACAGCACTTAACCGTGAAACAGAGTGCTGGTGAAGCCTGATATTTTTTAAATTTCTTTTTTAATTTCAAAATATACAAAAATGTTTAAAAACTGTATCAAGGTTATCTTACCATTCCTGATTCCCTCTCTTCATTTTCAACTCTCTTACTTATTTCCCAATCTTTAAATAACAAGGTTACACTACTATTTTTCGCTTTTGTTCTACACTTTAAGTATTTACTGACTTCTTGTTATGGAAGATGGGAATTTATTATTAATCTTGCATATAGTCCTTTTCTTATTCCTCCAATAACGATTTTTGGTTAGATCTATATTTAGTATTTACTTTACTATGTGTGGTAGTTATGTTTGTGTGTCAACCCGGCTGGACCTGGTTGAGTGGCTGGGCAGCTGGATGTAGTATTCCCCATGATGAGACTGGTAATCATCTCCATGGGGCAATCTACTGGGAGCAGCTGAGTAGCTGCCTTTGGGCACGTAGTCTGCTTCCCGTATATAAGAAACAGCTTTGGGAAAGGTCTCTAGCCTATGGCACATTTGGACTCTGCATGTAACTGTGTTGTTATTCAGTAGCCTGCCATGCTCTGCTGACCTTGGGACTTCCAGTAGACTTGAGTTAATGGCCTTCCGTGTGGTTTGGTAACATCGGGACTGTGCCTTTTTACTTGTCAACCTTGGGCTTGGCAGCCTCAGCAGCCAGCAACTGCCTGAGTGAAGAGAAGCCCAAGGCTGGGGGGCTTTCACCCAACCCCTAGAGCCTGGCACTTTGAATTAGACTTAAAGCCTCCAAATTGTAAGAATAAACTCCTGTTTGTTAAAGTCATCCCATTTGTGGTATATTTCTTGTCAGAGCGGCACTAGGGAACCAGAACACTGTGATACATCAGTATGATTTACAGCTAGGCAATGCGGTGTACATTGCCTTTCTAGAGCAGCATTTTGTTTTTGACTACAGTTAATAACTGCCCCTCTCCTTTTCCTTTTGCTTAGTTTACCCACCACAAGCTCACTCCCAAAAGAAAACAGCCATCAATTTCCTTTTAATAAGTTCAAACATCACTGCTGCCCCACAGGCTTCCCAGGCTGAAATCTTTACAGAAGCAGGCTGCCACATCTTTCTCCCACGAGGTAGCTGGTAGGTTCAAACTGCCGACCTGTGGGTTGGCAGCTGAGCACTTTAACCATGGTGCCACCAGGGCACCTGTCAAACGCAGATAATTTTAAAGTTTTTGTGTTTTTTTCCTTGAAGATATTCCCCTCCTGGAGCTGTCTGTCCTCAGTGTTCACCCTGAAATGGCTTCTCTCTAGGCTCACTGCAAACTTGTAGCTCAGTCTTCTCCTTCCTTCCTCTTTTTTCTCTTTTCCATGGTGCATATCCTCCAAAAGATTCCTGAGAAAGGGTGCATGGAGGTTAAATTGTAAAGGCTTTGCATGTCTGGAAATGCCTTTGTTCTACCTTTCATACCATATCCTCTATCTTAGACTTGACAGTTTGGCTAGGTATAGAGAACAAGGTTAGGAGCTCTGGTAGCATAGTGCCTAAGGCACTTGACTGCTCACCAGAAGGCTGGCGGTTCAAACCCACCAGCCACTCCTCGGAAGGAAGGTTGGGCAATCCAACTTCCGTAGTGATACTGCCTCGGAAACCCAAGGAGGGGTCGCTATGAGTCGGGGCCGACTCGACGGCAAACAACAACAACAACAAAAGAGAACAAGGTTAGAAATCAATTTTCCCTCAGCATTTTGAAGGCATTGCTCCACTGTCTTTTAATATCCAGTGCCACTGGTTAGAAGTCCAATGACATTCTGATTTCTGACTTTCTGGTGGTTTTTTTTTTTTAATTTTTGGAAGCTTTTAGGATTTTTCCCCTCTATATTCTATAATTTCAAAATTATATACCATGATGGGTCTTTCGTCATTCGTTTTGCTGGGTGCGAATCAGGTCCTTTCTAAACCGGAAACGCCAATCGCTCAATTCTAAGAAATATCTTGGACTATTTCTTTGAGATTTCCTTCCATTCATTTTTTCTATGGATACTTTTGGTTTGGGTATTGGTCTTTCAGATTAATCTTCTAAATTTCTTACTTTCTTGCTTCTGTGTTTTATCTCTTTCTCTTCCTAATACTTTTTGAATTAGCATCAACTTTATTTCTAATCCTTATATTAAATTTCTTTCTAAGATTTTTAAAGAAAATTTCTGAGAGTTCTTGTTCTCAAAATGTTCCTTTTTTATTGTATCATATTATATATCATGGGTACAGTATCTTATTTTAGATCTCTGTGAATATATACATTTTAAAATACATTGTCTTCTGTTCCTCACTTTGTCTGTTTCCTCTGAGTTCCTTTTTTTATTTGTTTATCGGGGGTGTTCCTCAAGAGTCTGGTGATCTTTGTGTGACTCTTCAGATTTAAGAATTAAACTAATGACGGGAGCTCTGTGTTTCAGGGCTTCACTGTGAGATGATCACGTGAGACATGGCTGATTATTGGAGTTTCCTCAAAGGTCAGTATTTTCCCCAGAGAATTCTCTAACACCTTCCTGAGGGCTATCAAGCATATTTGCCAGCACGTTGTGAAGCAAGTGAGGGAGGGATCTGGTATCTTACTATCTACATGGAAACCCGTGAAAATGCCTTGTTTTTCTGAGTCTCACAAGTTTTCTGCCTTTGACAGGTTGAGTCTTGCCACTTTTCTATCACTCATTTTAGTGGAAAACATTTGCGTTTTCCTTCTCTGACAGGTTTCCACCTTCCACAGGTTCCGGCTTTCGCAAGCTTTATTATAACATACAGACCCCATTTGTCCTGCTTGCAACGTGGCACCTCTTCAGATCAATCTGTTATTGCATCTTCACTGTAAACCTGAGAGTCAGAATCGTCTTGGCGGCAGTAGGTCTGGTTTTGGTTTTCTAAACTGAGTGGTAGGTACCAGTATTATCTCCGTTCGACTAATGAAGATATTGACTCGTGCCAGTGACCCAGATGCCACTGAGCTGACACCATGTGGGCCAGAGTACAGCTGTTCTCCACAGTTTCCAATGGCTGGTTTTTCTGGAGTAGGCCACAGGCTTTTCTTCTGAGGCACCTCTGGGCAGACCTGAACTCCAGTCTTTCAGTCACAGGCGAGTGTGTTAACTGTTTGCACCACCAAGGACTCCAAGGAGTCTCATAGAGAAATAACTTATTCAAGTTCAAACAAATAACAAATGGAGCCAGGACTGGAAACCAGATCCATAATTCAAAATTCTATATTGCTTCATAGTGCCTAAGGCATTTGACTACTAACCAGAAGGCTGGTGGTTCAAACCCACCAGCCACTGCTCGGAAGGAAGGTTGGCCGTCTACTTCCGTAGTGATACCACCTCGGAAACCCAAGGAGGGGTCACTATGAGTCAGATCCAACTTGATGGCAGTGAGTTTGGTTTGGTTTCCCTTCATGAGGAGAAACACATTAAAATTTGTTTACTTGGGAAATGGAAGAGGAATGAATTTTACACTGATGTAACTAGACTTAAGATACATATTCATTCTACAGATAAGGCCTTAATATAATCATTAAACTGATTCACCAACTTTAGAAAAAGTAGGGCATTTAAATGAATGTGCTAGCAGCAAAAGATTTAAAGAATTATCAGATGCCAGAGAATTCCAATCTGGGCTTTGTAAATGCACCAACATAATTAAAGGTATATCAAATAAACAAAATTGAGACTCTCTGGTACAATTAGCCATTGGTCTAGCAGATGACTGGACAAAGACTACGAATAGCAGTACACCCATGAAGTACAGTCTATAGATTTAAGAGTAATCATTATTACTATTAAAAAAAAATCAGCTGGCTAAAAATCAGATAGCAACAAACATTTACCAAGCTGCTAGATGACTATCTAATAGGTCCTGTATACAGACAGAGAATACACAGACAGACAGATACAAGAGAGAACATGACACTACAATGTGGAAAAGTAGAGCTACTGGGTGCAGGACGCCATGACGAAGGGAAGAAACATGTGGCAGAGAAAGCTTTCTTTGGAGGTGGTAATATATGAACTGAGTCTGAGGGAATGAGTAGGTTGATCAGAAAGATGACAGTAGTGGGACATCCCAAACCACAAGGAGTGGAAATAAATACATAGTACGCCCAAAGGCAAAAAGACAAAACAGAACCAAACAAACAAAACCACCATGGGTGCTGGGGTGATTTAAAAACTTGTCAAGAAAATATAAACTTCTATGACAAGAAAGTGGCACTTTTACACTCAAAAGTATTTTTCAACACTCAACTGTGGTGGCAAATTTAGGAGACAGCCCTGAAGGCTACTCGACCCCGAAGGCCACACAGGCTGGTGCAGTCTCCTGACAATGAACGGCAACTGCTGCTTCATGTTTTGCTTAGGTTTTCAATGTCCCACAGCCCCTAAGTCAAACTCCCTCCTCTAGTTCTCCTCTCAGGGAGGATAACAGCGGCACTAGAAGAGTGACCCTGAGGAGGAAGAGTCTTACTCATCTCCCAGAACCGGACTTTTGAAATCACTGCCTTTTTCCTAGTGAAACTTCCTCTTACGGGAACAGTG